TTTAATATGAATGCAGAGAGAGAGAGAGAGAGAGAGAGAGAGACCAACCTCTCGATTAGAGCGCAGTTGTCATATAGTTTTAGATTACATACAGTCTTCTCAATACAATACAGTATACAAGCGATGAAACCGACAGATTCTTTGCCATCCCTTTCCCTCCGCTGTTATTCAACTCTACATTTGTTTTAATCCTATTTTAATTTTAACAAAAGAATGTATTTTTAAATTCAATAGTTTGGCTAAATTTAATTCCGAGATAAATAATTAAATAAATATTTAATTTAATTGTATTTATAGTCTATTATAATATGAAAAAGATTTAATTAATAGATAGTTTTGAAGGCATTTACAAAAAAGCGGTCTTAAAATACATCAAACGCTTTGAAGACAAACACAAAACTTCTTATTTTGATTCGTTAGTCAACTGATGGATAAATATAGCATTTGATGTGACGATCCGTTATTAAAAGAGATACACAAATGCATATAGAAATGGATTCAAATATTTATCAACTTTTCAAACACAACCTAATAATTCAAGCGACAGGAGTTTTAAGACAAGATTTCGTTCGCGATGTTTAAGGAAAATAAACTTTATTTCAAACTTAAATGCAAATAATTTGAATATGTTATTCGTGAAATATTCTACTTAAACAGTATTACTTTTTGAAACATAATGTTCCCATTTATTCAAATGAATTGTCTTTATTTATGACCACTTTTAGTGCGAATATATTCAACAAATAAAGTATTTTTACAGCAAAACCAGGAAAATATTTATTTTGTAAAGTTTTTAATTAATGATATTTAAAGCGAAAGTGAATAAAATATGTTATTTGACTCAAGGCTTAAGGAATAAGAAAATACTGTAATTTTAAAACTACTTTATAATTATTTAAATTCATTTTCTATATGACGTGAAATAGATTTTACTTATTGAGCAAAATTTACTGCATTTACAGAATATTTACAGAAATCGGTTTTTGTTTTGAATAGTTTTCAAACTATATTCAAACACCAAGTTTGCAGCTTTTGGTAGGCGTCTATTGTGTGCAAACAGTGTTTGGGTGCTATAAAACTGACCATTCATTTGATGGTTTGGTTTGCGGTAAAATATTAAGCATAAGAATCGTTGCCAACACTCTTATAAAGTACACAATAAGTGCAGCTGTTTTCACATCCATTAGTCTTCGCTAACAATTAGATCAACAAAACTATTGTTCCTTTCATTCATTAGATGTGCCAAAGAAATAATGGATTGACTTGTTTTCGGATTATGTTTTTGTTATTCAAAACTGATTGGAAATACTATACATATATAGCATGTATGGCATCGTATATAAGCCAAGAACTGCCTAATAATCAGATAATATATCAGATATTATTGAAATTTGTATTGTTTTGTGTTGTTATTGAATAATAAAAGTTAAACAAATAAAAATTGTTTGTTATATGTTTAGTGTCTGATATGGAAACATAATAAACACGACTTTTCAGCACAAGTCGTGTTATGTTTCCAATTCACCGGCAATTGAACTCTCGGTCTCTAATTCCTAAAGTCGACGATAATCTGAGCAATAAATTCAAGAAACATATGAGAAAATGTGAATAAATCTCGCATTCAATCATTTATTTTAGAAACATTTCAAATTCTCTCATCCGATGCCATGAAATATAATTATAGTCTAAATTTAGATCAGTATTAAAAATGTATTTTTCACGTTTACAGCAAATTAGAAGTAAATAAAAAATAAGCAAATCCTAAATATATATCAGAATGTTTTTCAAGCACTTAACCAGCGTTTAGCTCAACAACAAAAAAACATAAACTAACGAAAAATTATAATTTATTATTTGCAAGTCGTTTAAGAATAATGAGTAAAAGTCATGAATTGGTTTTATTAGGAAATTTATTTTAGAGGCGAAACTCACTATGAGATGAGGATCCAGCTGTTGGTGTGCAGAAGTGGTCACATTTGAACAACATTTTAAAGATACAAAACTGCTATCATATCGTATCAACAATTATATAACAGACCCCTAAAATCGTTACTAGACTTCGATATACAGTATATGATAATAGGATTTATCAGATGAAAGTAAAAACAAACTATTTTTTAATATGAATGCAGAGAGAGAGAGAGAGCGCTTACAGAAGCGAACAATTGTTTTGATAGTAACGCCTAATCGCATGATTTTTGAACAGAGCTATGAAAGAGAGAGAGAGAGAGAGAGAGAGAGAGAGAGAGAGACTGCAGATGGTCTTTTCAGTGTTTGCGGAATTAGTTCAAAACTGCAATTGGCTTTCAAACCAACTGCTTCTCCAGAAATATATCAACATTTTTTACCTAAATATCTGTAAAATAAATGAACAAAAGGTTTGTGTAATTAACAAAAATTAGTTTATTATAACTTTTAATAAATTCGGGTAAACATTATAACGAGTGCTTGAATACAATTATTTGTGTTAACAATTAATTTGTACCTCAAATGGAATTTATAATAATAATATTGAATATAAGTAAAAACAAGAAAAAACTTATATTTATACATAATATGTATTATAAATAACAATAAATTAAAATTTTCAAAATATATTACAACATAATTAGAATTGCAGAGCAAAACAATTAACAACATTATCACAAGAAAAATAATAATTTATCTATTTTTAGAAGTTTTTCATATAATTAATGCCTTCTCTTCTCTTGTGTACACAGATATCGATAGCAATCTCTTAAAGGCGTCAAAAAGTTTTTGAACGTTTAGTTATTATATGTATTTTCATATTTTATTAATTAATCCAAAATATAAATTGCTGTAAAAACGAGAAGTTTTAACGAAAATTTAGTTATCTGTAAAAATTATTTCTAGAAAATAAGATTTTTGTTTTGATTTTGATGTAAAGTGTTTTTTTGAATATTAAGATAATTTGAAGTTAATATTCATATATTTTAAAACATATATTCTGTAAAGTATTCAATTAATTTATAAATAAAATAAATAAATCTTTTTTTTCTGTTTATATAAATAATTATAGCAACAAATCATAAGAGAATACAATTTTGCTTTTTCCCATCACTTTAATGAATTGAATGTGATTTATGATAACAATTAGTTTTTACAATAAATACATAGGGATGTGATGAATGACTTGAATAGCTGTTTATAAAACAATATATTCATTATTAGATCCACTGATCATAACATCACTTATCAGATGAACTTTCATTGAGTAAACTTTGAGCCAATCTTTCAAATGCCTTAACATAATAGTCGATAAGAAAACAATTAAATATAAAAAACTTTTTCTTATTTAAAAGTTGTATTCAGTATATATATAGAGCACACAATCTTTACCTCAATCTCAGCCAAAGCGTCGGCCGATATCTCAGTCCTCATCGTCTGGTGTTGTGGCAGAAAGATGTCGGCGTCATCTGATCCGATGGCTGAAGAACTGGATAACGAGAGTCTATCAGAAGTAGCGCTCGCTATTCTATGTCGAGACCTATCGGTAACACAAGTGCTCAGAGATCGTGGTTTGCGTTTCAAAATAGATGCACTCGTTTTGAGTGTTGTGTCCACTAATCCGCTGTCAGTGACGGTTAGTCTTTGACTAGAATTTGACAATTCTTTGTGGTTCTGATGACTAATATTGTCGTCTTTATTACAGCTCTTTCTTCTATTGAGTTTACCATTCGCTGAGTTATTATCCGTCAAATCGTCGGGTATTTCCCACGAGAGACGTCCCAATTCTACTGAAGACTTGGCCCTCTTTGTTGAGCCAAATCGTCCCCTAAAAAGCTTGTCGTCCACAAAGTTTCCTAAGAAACGCAATGGACTTCTTCTAGTCTTTGGTGTATTGCATATCAACCCCTCATCTATTGAGCTCTTCTTAGAGCTGCCGAAACTCTCGGGAGTATTACTGTTAGACGAGTCCAACATATCATACGTATTGAGACTTTTATTTTTATTGCTTTTCAGTGGAAATATCACTAAACATAATAACAGAGAAAACATACGGGCAGTTATTAAATACATTTCCTGGAAATTCACACACATTTCCCATCAAAAAAGTGTCACAACTTTTTTGTCGCATGACTTACGGGAAGGAATAGAAGACGCGGCCCTCAGAACCTGTGATTGAGTTTTGTGTCTAAGTCTGGGACTCGAGAATATGCTATTCTTTTTGGTGCTCTTGTTTAAGGACTTGTGTTGTCCGTCATCTGACATATGGGCCCCCAATTGCCCGAAATAGTCGGTCGAACTCCTCTGCAATGTATGCATCGATCCGTTGTTGTCCTCGTAATCGAGAGATTGTCTTTTGGAAAGTGTCGCTAATCTGATCTCTTCCTGTCTTCGAGCGCACAGCTTATTAAGTGTCTCTTCTCTCGACTCAAAACTATCGCAAGAATTCAGTCGTCTATCAATTTCCTGAAGTCTGTAAAGTATGTAAAGTATGAATACAAACATAAAAGCAATTGATTTGCAAATCCTGTGCTATATTTGCACATAAAAGTACATTATTGTGTATTTACTTATTTGTTTGCTCTTCAATAAAGTCTATCCTTTTTTCTCCTTTATTTCCACGTATGGATGGTTTATAGGAACGAATCGACTTTTTTGAACCCGTATTATAAATCTCTGTCTGTTTTTAGCAAATAGTATACAAAATATTAATTATGTGTTATTTATTTAAAAAATTATACACAGATGTCTAGAATTACAATGGGAAGCTTCAATAATATGTATTATTATGTAATTACGGGTTTTGTAACAATATTTATATTGATTTAAGCAGAATAGTGACCGATTATTTGCACATTTAAGTTTTATCGATACCCTCCCAATCACTGACCCCAGCCTTATATAGACATCGCTATAAAATATGTATACAGTGTTTAAATTACAGTAAAATAACTTTCAGATTAAGTTTTCAAAAAATAAGCCATTTATAAAAATCACGCAATAATAGTGTTATTAACTGACAGTCAATTAAATGAAGAATTGTGTCAATCAATCGCAACCTCTGGGGCCTAATGGGGATGGAAGGGATGGTTTGGGATGTCTGACCTGTTCCAGTCTCAGGGACTCAGCGTTTCTCAGTATCTCTTCGTGCGCTTCTTTGGTCGCGCTGTCATACGAGAAGTCGCTTCTGTCGCCTTCATTATCGCCGTAATTATAGCTCTGATCTCTATTTTTGACACTTCTTCTCAGCCGTAATCTCGACTTAAAGTCATCCAACGATTCGTTGTTATTATTGTGAAAGTTGTCGTCAAATAATTGCATTTTGTTGAGCGATGAACGCGATGACCGAATTTCATCTAATTTTCGCACTGATTTGGTTTTAACGGTGCGATTAAAATCAAAAACAAAAACAAGTCTTGAGTTTTAATTTTAAGCAGTTTTTGTCGATTAATGGGATAACAAACAAAGTTTTTTCTTAATGTTTTAATTTAAATATATATTAGAAAACACCGTTTATTTCTCTCCCTCCGAGAAAAAGTGTGTCAAATATTTAATATTTAAAACTTCTTTTTCAGTTGTGAAGCAATTAATTATTCCTAAAAAATTTTCATTAAATGTAAAAACAACTCATTTGTGAATTAAGTGCTCGTTTTTTAATATAAATTATTACACTATATAATCATCTAATTTGTATTCAATTTGCATTTTGATTGGTTTAGGGCTCGAACTTAAAGCTAATAAATAAATTTAGAAAAATGTTTGCAACAAAAAGTCAAATAGTTTTGAGTTTAAAATTTTGAGCAATCAGTGAATGATTTGTTACAATCTATCTCTGATAACGAATCCAAAAGTCACTCACATTGACATCGATTGGAGCCCAAGGAATGACACGACTCGGAGCTGCTTCTGGAGATGGATGACGACTGATCCTCTCCTATGTCTAACTGATGGAAGTCATCGGAATCATCACTCGATGGATCACTTGTGCGACGGATGGGAGGAAACTATCACAGAATTGGAAACTCAATAAATATATGGGTTTTCGATGAAATAAACAGATAAATGGCAAACAAGAGACGGACTCGAGTGGCGGACAAACTCTTTCTGACTCCTGGATCCCCTCTAGCCTTCTCGAAGTACTTCATACACGGAGACTCTCTTCTGTAACTCATTTTCGTATTAAAATTTAATCACAAATTTCTTTGTAAATCAAAGAAATGATAAAAAGGGTCGGAAAAAGTAGATCTAAAATAAAAGTCTCAGAATTTGGGAATTGTGTTGAAAGGAAAACATTGTTATATTTTTAGAAGCGATTCTTCTATTCGTGTAATTCAATGAAGAAATTCTTCTAATTTGACACAAACTCTCAACTATGAAGAGAAGCGCTGGAAATGTGTCGCACAGATAGTCATGGAGTCAGTGATAGAGAGAGCTGTGGCTGAAAGGGATGTGTGTTTTCAAGAGATTGTCTTAATTATATTTTCAATGAGAGTGAGAAGCCTATGATTTGTGCGCCTCTTTTCAACTTCAATGCCTGAAAAATTTGTGATCAAATGTTTATTTTAAGAATTGGACCGTAAATATGGCACACAAGCAGTGAATACAACTCACGACTTCTCTAAACATCCCAAACATTTCACTACAACTAACTCTTCACTCAATCGCAAGGAATATATAAACTATATTTAAAACTTTTGGCTTCACTTGTATTCCGTATATAGCGTTGAATGCATTAAATAGCATCTCATAAATGCATAACACTTTTCTCCGACAAACAGTGGTTTTGGTTAAAATCAATGACTTTCTATTAATATAGAGTTCACTTGCATTCCTCTTCAACACAAAAAAGTTTAAATATTTATTTAAATTCTTTTATGTTTTAAACAAAAAACAAAGAAAATTATTTATCGATTAAATCACGAGTTCTTTGGATGAGATGTTCTGTTAAACGAATTGAAGAGAAAATAATATGAAGTTTTGCTCCATATTCTAGAGTCGAATCGGGGAGAGAGAGAGAGAGAGAGAGAGAGAGAGAGAGAGAGAGGAATTTTGTAATTTAACTTTTAAAAATAACACATTTTTCGAGTACACTATGTATTTGGCAAACGAACAAAATAAACAATTATTCACTCAATATTATCTCATACTCTCTACTCAAACAATAATCAAAAATTGTTTGTTTTTTCGCTAAATTCTATAGAATTTAACATTAAATAAAACCTAAAAACACGAGTCAAACAGAATTCATGAGAAACTTTAATATAAAGAGTTATGCAATTTATATATCGATGACTAGAAATGTAAATAAATATATTATTGATTTAATTTGAAACATAAAACATAAGACAAAATATTTTGTTATATAAATTAAGAAAACATTTAAATTTTTAGTATTAAAATAAAATAATCTTTCGTTTAAAAAAATACACATTATTTGTATACAATTTATATTAGATTGTAATTCATTTATTACTGGTTTTGATCGGCTTTTGGGCATTAAATCGTTTAAAGTGTTGTAGAAGTGACCGGATTTATGCCGTGAACTAATAGAGTCGGCGGCAGATTCTTTGTCAACACATCCAATCGTTCCAAATACACAAGATATTCCGATGGACAGGCGGGCGGCGGCGGTAAATACATGAACATAACGGACGTGTTGTGACTGTGCTCTTGGATCAGAACATTCACGCTTTGCAAGTAATGAGTGCTTAATATAAACCGTTGCGGACTTTCGTCAACCGATAGATTGGTTTCGTTCATAGATTCAGATTCAGAGGACTTAGAGTCCGGACTTTGAGGAATGCTATCGACCCTCACATCAGTCAGCGATTGGTCCAAAGGCGAGGTCACGTGATCCCAGATCACCACACGTATGGTGGCGTCGATTCGCAACATTTGCAGAATCTGTTCCCATTGTCGGCGAAGGAGTGACACGTCTTTGATTTTGCTGTCGACACACATGAAGACACGCACTTTGGTTGAGTGCTTCCACGCGGGAACCATATGCAGAACACACGCCAATTGCATCAAAAACAGCCAACAATTGTCTATATTTGTGATCGATATTTGCGGACAGAAGAAATTGATTGGCCAGACGTCGATGTATGAAGAGTTGGACGCAACCATCATATCCTATGATAAGACAAACTCTTATTATAATGTAATTCGTAAACAAAATAAATTGACAAAAACCTTATTAAAAAGATGGAAATGTCGAGCGACGCACACATTCTTCTGGAGCCTAAACACCGAGTCGTAAAGCATTGACACGTATTCCTCGCGAGCGAAGACACGCTTACTATTATCTTCACGGAGTGATAAGAATACGTTTCCGCGCAATAAAATATCTCTTAAATTATGATAAATGACATTATTTTCGAAGAAATCGTTGGGAATCTCATCGTCAAAGAAGCCAAACAATATGGTGTTTGGTTTCATTGCCCCCAAACCGGCAATTCTGGACAACTGGTGTAAGCCGTCCCTAACAGTGGGCGCTAACGTCACCTCAACGAATGCCTTCACTTTCAGTTTATCCAGAAGTTTGAGCCAAAGAGGGTATTCGTCGAGAACGGGATCCGTTTCGAACTCATCGATGGAACCCACTTTCACGTGGCCTAAGATATAGAGCCCACTCTTCTTCAGGTCGTTAACAAAGCTTATTAACGGAACACATGATCTCGGGTTTGACACCATTAGAAGAAATTGCGGTCTCCAGTACTTCACGTGATCCTTACGACTGTCCAAAAGTAGTAGATATTTGCGAACCTATCAAACAAATCACATATTTAACAAAAATAGTCGTTATTATAACACGTGTTATAAAATACCTGATGGAAAATCAATGCCTGACTTATAGACCCCCAGCGGACGGGAGGGGAACGGATGTGCAGAGCAATCACAAGAAGTAGACACATGATTATAGTGATAGCGGCGTAGAGCGGGTTAATGACAAACATCATTACAATGCAACCAATCATTCCTATAGATGTGGTCTTTCCGGAGAAGTACTTAAAAGAGGGCCGAAAGTTGGGCGCAGACGTGAGTGTCAGCGAAAGACAGGCCAAGTTTATGGCGAAATAGGACAGCAAGAAGAATACGGATGTGATTTGTGCGATGAGATTGAGTTTATTAATTAATATAATGCACTGAACCGTAAACCACGTGACGATTACGGCGGCGATCGGATTACCGGCGCGTGAGAAACGGTTTATTGGCTGAAGAAGTTTACCGAACAGATTGTCTTTAGAGACGGCTTCGAGCACTCGAGAGGCGCCGATTAGATTGCTTAACGATGCGGACAGTGTGGCCGCGAATATACCGATGGCCACGAATGGGCGCCAAAAGTTGATGTCTTGCATAAAC